ATAGAAGGTCATATAATTTGCTGCCACCTCTACATGCAAGCTGCAGTAGGCACAATGTATAAATGTAAAAGTGTACAACTCCCGCATGGACCGTTGACTTCAGCTTTCCTGGGTAACCTTTCTTCGGCTACAGGAAGCTCGTAAAAACACGTTTTTTTGTTGCGCTTAGCTCTTTTTATTCGATTTGATTGGCGACCAAGTTTGTTGTTTTGCTAATTATTATTCATGTTGTGCGACCATAAGAACATACAAACCTGGACGATTTGTGTTGTTCATTCTTGTTTGTGCTTTTTCCTAGCGATGGTCCAACCTTGTTGCCGTGTCGTGGAAATGAAGACGTTTCCTTGGCGCATTATTGTAGTACAAGCAGTGCACCACACTGTTTCAGAAAGTAAACCCACAGTTTGTCATGTCACCCGGGCCGTTCTATCCACACTCAACGTAATAAGCAATCGGATTGGTTGATGGTCCAGCAATCGCTGGTTCACGCCACTGACTCACTCGCTGAGGATCAGTCACCTCCTTATCACTCCTATATCCTTACTACTATGGCTACTTATTCTTGGTTCTTTCGGTAAAGTCACGTAGAAGGGAAACAATAAAATAATAAAAATATAAAAACAATATTTGTATTATTTTATGAATCCCTGCAGTCACGAAAGCTTTAAATCAAAATTTTACTATGGCTACTGTTCCAGTGAACTTCAATTGTTGATTCCTCTACTCATATTGGGGACTCAGTTTACCAGACGGACCCTTTTGTCTGATCCAGTTTGTGTTAAACCACCACAACAACACACTCATCCACTTACCCACTCACCTACTCACCCACCCAACCACTCACCACACTGCAGGTCAAATACCTTCTCTTCCTGCTTCGTCCTTGGCAACTGGTTTTACGACTGCAATTCTTCCCCATGGTCGCATTCCCCAAATTCATATAAACTAGTTTAATTCAAGCAACATGTTAACCTTAAATATATTACAACTTTGAGAGTGCTGTTTGTTTCTGGCCGCTTGGGCCTTTGTGCCTGTGCTCAGCAATCTTAAAAAGAATACATTTGAAGCACACACCTCTGTTTTATGCCCTTCCAATGGTGTTTTTCACGTGGCTATGAAACTGAAATTTTAATTTTCAGAATTTAATCTCGTGAAATTAAGTTAAAATGAACTTCAAAGTGATGGTGTTTTTTGTGCAGTCATCAGTGACCAGGCTGAAACTTATCAACCGGCTATACACTGGAACAAACTTCCTCTCCACATTAAACAGTCACCTCCCCTCACTAGTTTCTGTTCCTCACTCAAAACTCACTTATTTTCTCTAGCTCACCCCACAACCTCTTATTCTCCCCCTCATTACCACCACCACTACTTTTCCCTCTTCATATTCTCATTACATGGCTTTCACTCATTTCCCATTCATTAAATCGATTCATCATCATTTACCGACATCAATTTCACTTTCACCGAATTCATCCATTACAGATTCGCCCATTGCTTCCTCTCATCTATTTTATTCACCTCATCTCCACCATTTCATTCATATCTACTGTTCTTCATTTTCTGTATAGCGCCTTGGTTAAGGCACTATATGCATTATGTTAAGATGACCCAGTTTAATCATACGTAGCCAAAACCAGGATTTTAACCTAGGCTTTCAGTGTCTCTGACATTACATTAGCACCTTGATCCACCCAGCCACCTCTCAAAACAGTATTTATGCCATCACGTCGTCTAAGATTACGCCGTTTTAAAATAAACACTGCTGTAATCAACGTGTATTCAGAGAAAGATCATCAGATGTATTACAGTCATGGTGTTACGAGCTTCATCACGCCTTTCACTGTGTACAGCGCGCCAGTTAGGATTAAGATGCACGGCGGCGTAGTTGCTGCTCTAAATAATAAAATCAACATCTTGCTGGGTGTGGTGTGTCGTCAAACGTGGTCAACCATAGTGCGCAAGCCCTTGGATATTTCCTGTACACACCAGTCTTTCCCGCACTGCATTGTTAATGTTATCGGTCTTATTGGAGATTTCTTAATTTCTTCACACGAGGGATCATCCACTGGTGGCGCACAAGCCCAATCTGGCCCACGAAGACTTGTTGTTGAATGATCTGCCAAGATATACGGCTCTCCCCAGGCATAAAAAGACAATTTATTTGGTGATACTGCTGCTGAGTTGGCAGTGACGCACAAGGACAAATAGCAAAAACAACTCGACATGTTTGCCAGTAACAATATCACCTTAAAAGAACTACATAAATGTTTGGCGACTTTTCGAACAATGGCCCTTTTTCATAGCACATAACTAGGGAGGCCAGAGACAGTGGATGATATGAGTCTGAGACTTCACTTTACATCATGGCGCCTGATGAGAATTAAATTCTAACAATGTTTTCTGATGACAAGTTTGTTTTAAATCGGCACAGCAATAGTTGCCTAAGCTTATTTCGTATGGCTGATGTAGACGCAGAGAAACAACTACAATTTGACATTCAGGTGGTAAAGCCAGAAAACGGCGTCAGGAGCAGCAGAGTGTATCGCTGTGATGTTTCCTTGGTATTTGTTGATCAGGCATTGCATTGTTATATGCTGTATGGTCCGTTCTGGATGACCACGGTCATGCATTGGCTCATAGTAGCTATCGAGTCACAGACAAAACCTTCAATAATCAAAACGAATCTCTAAACACACTATCCTAAAAGTTGAATTATAAAATGTTGCTTTCACATTGCTTTGTGGAAAGATTTGTTTCTGATAGAAACAAGGTACAATCCACTTAACAATGGGTCCAGGAATGCATTATTTACCGAGGTTTGCATTATAGCTTTCCAGGATATAGCAGTGCAATAATTCCAACCAGTAAGAATGTTATATTCTTGGTTCTTTCAGTAAAGTCACGTAGAAGAACCAAGAATATGAATCCCAGCAGTCACGAAAGCTTTAAATCAAAAGTAAGAATGTTGTTTTTACTCTGAACGGTGTCCAATCAAGCCATTGAAGGTGTAGTTATTTCCTCCATAAATAAATGGTCAAGGACTCACCAAACTGGATGCGGTGAGGTGCCAATCAGTGATGACTGCCAAGTAATACACGCGTATTCTGATGGAACAAGCGACGAACTCCCCTGAACTACCCCGGATGCTGTGGAAATGAATGGCTTACAAAAATTTTAAAAATACGATTATATTGTGTTGGTTTTTCAAACGCCATGCAAGAGAAGAGTTAAAAAGGAAGTGTTATTTGCAGATGCTTTACGTATTATCATACACATAGTCTTGACATTTAAGGCATTAACAGCAGCTTACATATATCCGCGACGGAACCTTTGTTTAAAATTAAATTATGCTCGGGGCTCAAGGTGTTCGTTTGTACAGGTTGCATGGCTCAGCGCTGTGATTTTCCTGCAAATTGCGTGCGACATTGTCGCCTCCCGATTGATTTATGGTGGGCAGGATATAAAATGAGATTCCACCCGTGTGACCTGCCGTAATTAGTGGCTGGGCAACGTCATATTTAACTTGATTCACCCGCCTTGTCCTCTGGGTATCCAAGTGCCAAGCAGCTCTTCCATCACTGTACGTTTTCCGCGCTTGTGCTGTACAGCTCTCCGATGTGTTTTCAGGGTTACGCCATCTGTCGTTAGGCACGACGTCTGATGTTTTCGTCCAAGTGCTGGGTGGTGCTTCAGAAATTTTATCCACATCACCGTGGTATTTTATAAGCATTTCTCCCATTTTAATGAAGAGTGGACAAATTATATTTGTATTTGAATTACAGCCATTATTGGGTTAGGGTTATGACCAAAGCAGTGAGCTACTTTATGATTATTATAATGATTACCCGTATCAAGTGTTTTTGAAATATATGGTCCGAAATTTTGGAATTTTTCATCGAGCTGAAAATTATCGGACCATACTGCTCGACAGCGCTCATCATCATCATCGTCTGTGCCACCTGCTTTATCAGTCAGTGGCGTGAGCAGTAGCATGAGCAAGCAATTATATACCTGCACCTTGACCTCTTTTAAGTTCACTATAATACCTGTATTTTTGTTTCTTTTATTGTATGCTTATTTAACTGAGGGTCATCGTCGTCTGCAGTGTTCAGTGCTCCTAGGTGTGGTCTGGTCAGAGGGCAAGTATCCTTCTCCTCTTTCATATTCTGTGCTACAGACTGCAACTGTCTGCGTTTACAGTCTGGGCCCTTTTGATATATTCATCTGGTCTTGTTGACCACAATGTTTGTGTTCCAACGTGAGATTTGTGGTCAGTGGCTTGTCGAATCTTGTTGGTGCAATTGCGTCCCAATTGAAGAATCGTTGACGGAGCCTTTCCTGCAATAGCACCACATCTATCGTTCCATGGCTATGTAAATAAAATAAACTTGGAATTTGGCTATGGATTTGCTTCCTGATGGTATCGTTTCCTATGAAATGTATTACAATGCAAGAAGAGGTGGAAGAGTCACTTTTTCACATCTTGTACTTTATCTAAAATAGCCGTTAATGTCACTGTCAATGACCTGTGCGATGTGTGTGTGTATATGTAACAACAAAGACAAAGGTCCCCCACATAGCCTTTAAGAGACTGGTAGGGCAAGTGCTGTCAGCGAGCACCTATGATACACGAAGGGGTGGGTGGCCACCGCCACGCTCGACCACCTTTGTCTCTCAGGGGGGGATTTCTTTTTAAACATCGCACCAGGTACTCATTTAGAGCTGAGGCGACCTACCCGTATGAATGACACGGTGTGGGCAGGCCTCCGTCTAGCAGTAGATGACTAATTACGGTATATGTGGACATACATCATGTGGCACCTCTTGCGTTCATGCAATTGCTTCTCCTGTGGGTAATCATCTCTCTTGCAGATGACATTTGTGACAACTTGTATTAATATTCATATTCTTGGTTCTTTCGGTAAAGTCACGTTGAAAGGAAACAATGAAATAATAAAATATATATTAACCTCTGCTTTCTTGTTTATGTTTTTCAGCACCTGTGATCAACCGCTATGGAAGGCGAGCATCTGGTAAGTTCAGTTAATGATGATACCTGCCATTTGAATAATTGTTACAGAATATATACAACATACAACATGACATTATTTTTAATGCGATACATTGACCTCTCAGCATCACTTGCTGTTACTTCCATTTCACCTGTGGCGGCATATTGATCACATCCCGCCACCTATTTCAGGCCCACGATTGAAGAAGATTTTTAACAATCCTGTCTTATCAAATGATGATGCTGGCAAATGATGCAAGTGGGCAGTGTTGTTACTCTGTGGCCCATGGTTTGAGATTGGTGACCACAGTTGCACTCTGGGCTATTGTTAATATTCCATTGACTGGCAGAGACCATCAATTGACCATCAGCTATTGTCTTATCCACTGTTGGATGAAGGCCTCCCTACTCTGCTTCCATCATCTCTCATGTCCCAGTGCAGCTACCATCTGTTTCACACAGCAGCGAGATAGAAGTTGTTAATTTTAGCTTTTTTTATCAATAAAAGCATGAAAAAAAAGCGATCGTCATTTTACCAACCTTGATCCCACACTGACTCGGGTCAGTGTGGGACTCAGGCAAGCCCCGTGACCGACGTGGCATGTTGAGGCCTTCATCTGGCGGTGGGCTGACAAAGCCTGTCATTTTCTGGCACACTTTGTACGTAATGGGTCGTCACGCCACTCATCGCATTCGAACGCACTACGTGGTTTAAAGGTTCGCGCATGCCCAGTCAATTTGTTAATTGCTGAAAACGAACTGGAATCGATTATGAAATCTGTGACCTTTCGACTCCCATAATTGATTCTGTCTTATCGAAATAACGAAAATTGATTAGCAGCCCAAAGTAAGATACTCCTTTAACCTTTGTGGTGACCCGTAACTCAGTGGCATTACTGTCTTGCTTTGCCTATTGTCCTCTGTTTTGTTAGTGGCCTGCAAGTAAGGCACACAATACCATTGATTGAGTTCTCCCACTGAGTGGCACAACTGTGACTGATGGTCCAGATTACTTTGCTCTTCAGGGTCCTGACTAAACCCAATTGCAAATACTTCAGTTAAATATACCAGCCCTTGCGTCCTTCAGGCCAGGCTCTGTAAATGATTAATGCTTCTTGGCTGTACACTACCAGTGGCCACAGTATATTATGGAATCGTTTTTATGTTTTTTGGGTGGATTTTTTGACGCAAATATTTTAAAACGAAACTTGTTTTTTTAGCTGTTAAAACCCACTGAGCTATATATATATCTTTTTCAGAAGCAACCTGGCCACAAATGATAGCTCTACAACTTGGTCTATCATTGGGAAATATATAGTAGCCAATTACTCCAAACAGATGTTTATAAATGTGGAGGGAAAAACCAGAGGACCCGCAGAATAATCCACATGACAACGGGTAGAAGAGACACGCAGACCCCAATTATACAGCAGGCGTCAGGGTTAGGAACGAACCCACGTGCTTCTGCATACCAGGCAAGGGATTTAACATCTCGCCACTGTGGCAACTTGATGGTACAGTTAGGTGGTGTATGGCAGGGCCAATTATGGCTACTCTTGCCTCTTCCAAAGTGTCTGGCCAGCGTGAAAGAGTAGGCCTCTAAATATTCTCTCTCGAGGTGGGGGGGGGGGCTCTCTTGAGCTCCCTGAAGTAGAGGCCCATCCGCCAAAAGTAGCGTGAGAAAGTGATTGCAGGGCTGCACCTTTACAATTAGCGTTTGAATGGCGCTGTCTTCGTCATATCACGAGATGAAGACGTTGCTTTGGAATTCTTTCAGAAAAAAACATTGTAACGTCGTTCTGTTAGGATACAGTCTCTGGAAGGTGATATCACAGAACATCTGAGGACCCTTTCAAGTGACTCCTTATCAAACACTATCAGGCACATCTTCCAATATACTCTGCTGCAGAGACATTTGTGCATGACACAGTCAAAAAAACTATTATTTTAAATTCTTGGCAAGTATTTAATACATCAAGGGGAATATGTAGTACGTTGTTTTACACCTTATGGCATTTGGGTGGAGCATAGGCACACTGGTTAGCACGTTGTGTTATTCAGTCAGAAACCCGACTTAAATTCTAGATTTGAAGCTTTCGTGATTGCAAGGATCCATACTCTTTGGTTCTATTCGGTAAAGTCACGTAGGTAAAAAATAAAACAACAAAAATCATGACGTTTCGGCCACAACACAAGTGGCCTTCATCAGGTGAAGGGACCAGACTGTCTCGAGGACAGCGCTGGAGTGAACACAGCCAAGCTCAGACCGCTTTAAGCTATGCGAGAGGAATTAAGGTGCCTTGACAAAGGAATTATCATAAATGCTAATTTTTATGCTAATTCCTTTGTCAAGGCACCTTAATTCCTCTCACACAGCTTAAAGGTCGCGGTCTGAGCTTGGCTGTGTTCACTCCAGTGCTGTCCTCGAGACAGTCTGGTCCCTTCACCTGATGAAGGCCACTTGTGTTGTGGCCGAAACGTCGTGATTTTTGTTGTTTTATTTTTTTGCCTACGTGACTTTACCGAATAGAACCAAAGAGTACCGACTTAAATTATTGGTCCTGCCTTCCCCCTGCCCTGATTCACACAACACGCACTGACCAGCGTGGTCAAGTATGGTGAAACAACCTCCATGATCGACACAGCGGTGGGGAAGCTGTGGGGACGCTATTAGGAAGCCACTGGAGCTTTGAACTTCAAATATAGATTGAAAATCATTTCTTAAAAACAGCTTTTTGTGTCGAGTGTTGTTGTCCTTTCCCCGCACCTCCGATGAGCATGGTTGGCTACGTACGGTGCGAAAGAAGTTCAACGTGCATACCGCGCATCCAGCAGTGGATTGTCAAAAGGACTGCAAAATAAGTTGGCCATAAACTCTCTACCAATTGATATCCCAGCTAAATCATGGGTGACTGAAACACAGATCTAAACCGATAATTGTTCCCAGTGCCGACGCAGTGACCGGACGGACACACCATTTGCCCCCAGAGCTGCCCCACTACTTCGCAAGTGGGAGTTGTTTGGATTCTCGTTTTGTATGTCACCCTGGTGGCATTTGGCACAGATTCTAAAATTAAAATCGACACGTTTATGGAAAGTGGGTCAAGTAGAGGATGATTTGTTTCCGTGAGCACAGGAGTTCAAGCTCACAGACTTTTCGATAACACCAATCTCGAAGACCTTTGGCACTAATATTAAATATTAATTGCAACAATTGTTCACCCAGTAAAACCTTACTTAGTCTCAGACTAATTTTCAGAAAGAGCTTGCATTTGGATATTTATCCAGTTGTATTTTTAAGTATTTGAAAATAATGAAAATAAAACATGCTTACATGCATGTCATATGCATATGGAAGGTATGTGGAAGATATAACTTATCGTTGAGGGTAGAGTGTAATCTCCACACCGATTTTAAACTCATAAAAAAAACGATTTTACCACAGCCTGTCACACACCTTTGTTGACTTCCCACAAAGTTGTACTTAATTTATTCACTCTGAAAAAATAAAGTGATTAGTTGAGCACCACCAGGATTGCACTCCGATTGTAAGCTTCTCCCCTCTAAACAATGCCAGAATCGGAATACTTATACTGGAGGAATCCGATGAGCTATAAAGCTCTTTCACAGATGTCCAATAGTACCATAGGAATGCCATGTCGCCAAAAGTGCCATCGGAATGTGGAGTTTTCACAATTATGAGTCGAGCTTGAGACGAGATCATTTCCAACGGGGAGAAATTCCTCATTTTCCCAAACACTTTGGGAGACGGGGACAGTCTTTCTGAAACTAGGACTGTCCTGGCCAAACCAGGACATTTGGTAGCTTTATCAGAACCACTTGGATGTTTTTACGTCATACAATATTGTGAGAAATGCTTTGTTTTCAGTTTTCAATGTTTAAGTCGATAATGTTGTCAAACTCTCTTCTCGGTGTTTGGACAGATTTGTTTTGTTCCATTTCCTGTTGCGCAGTCATCGCATCTTTTAGCAGCAGTTCCCAGCTCATTTCCCCTGAGTCGAACGTACATTTTGATGAAATGCAGTGCACGGGTGTGGGGGGGGGGCTAGGTTGAGTGCACCCTGGTGTGACATTAACCATGTTTGTTTTTGGAGATTGTGGGAAAAAGGGCAGTCGTGGTTTTTTGGGGTTCACGCAACAGAAACACGACTGGGTGACATGGTTGCATATCCATTTCTTTGGGAAAAACATTTGTTAATGCTCAACACAACACGTTTCAGTAATAGGTTTTACCCTTTTAACTGGCACAAAAACTGACACCTTTATTCAAGGCATCATGTTTGCAATAACCACAACACAAGCAGTCAAAATGCAAACAAAAGAGACAACTGATAATAATATGCACTGTCCTTGAATTTGATTGGTCCACACCCGAGACGGCTTTTCTTAGAGCCTAGTCTCCACTGGTGTTGGACTAGAAGACGCCAAAAGGCGCACAACTCAAAAACAGCGCACTACCAGAGTATTGAGGGCTCGGGGTGAGCATTTACATCATGTTTGCAATGATTCCTTGAATAAAGGTGTCAGTTTTTGTGCCAGTTAAAAGGGTAAAACCTATTACTATATCTTGTTACTGGCAAAGGAGGTCTCAATGTAAATGCTCACCCCGAGCCCTCAATACTCTGATAGTGCGCTGTTTTTGAGTTGTACGCCTCAAACAGCGCACAACTTTTTGAGTTGTACGCTGTTTTTGAGTTGTACGCCTTTTGAGTTGTACACCCATCTCAAACCTATATAACATCCCGCCTCAGCATCTCTCCCGCTATATTTTTTCACCTGATGACGATTGCTTTGTGTTGCGATCAAAACGTCGCGGTATTTTCAATTTTTTTTATTTTTCTATCTATGTGGCTTTACCGAAAGACCCAAAGAATATGAATTCCTGCAGTTACGAAGAATGTTATAAGTGCTTCCGTGACGCATTATAACACATTCCTGCGGAGGGAGCTGGTAGGAACGTTGGGTTGCTCGGTCAATGGCCAGGGTCAACAGAACCAAATA